GGAAAATCTCACTAAATACACTAGAAGGGGCAACACTCCTGGAAAATCTCACTAAATACACTAGAAGGGGCAACACTCCTGGAAAATCTCACTAAATACACTAAAAGTGTCAACACTCCTGGAAAATCTCACTAAATACACTAAAAGTGTCAACACTCCTGGAAAATCTCACTAAATACACTAAAAGTGTCAACACTCCTGGAAAATCTCACTAAATACACTAGAAGTGTCAACACTCCTGGAAAATCTCACTAAATACACTAAAAGGGGCAACACTCCTGGAAAATCTCACTAAATACACTAGAAGGGGCAACACTCCTGGAAAATCTCACTAAATACACTAGAAGGGGCAACACTCCGATTTTCCAGGAGTGTTATCCCTTCTAGTGTATTTAATGAGATTTTCCATTCACTAAATACACTAGAAGGGGCAACACTCCTGGAAAATCTCACTAAATACACTAGAAGGGGCAACACTCCTGGAAAATCTCACTAAATACACTAAGAAGGGGCAACACTCCTGGAAAATCTCACTTAAATACACTAAAAGGGGCAACACTCCTGGAAAACTAACTTCAGTCAAATATTCATGTTTGAATCTTATCAACAGAAAAAACAAAATCCAGATCCAGACTTGTGCAGCAATTGAACTAATGTATAAATAACTGAATTAAATTAAATAGTCCAATCAGGAATAAAACAACTAATTTTCAGGAGTTGGATACTGTTTTAAGAACAAAAATAAGTATATATTAGTAATATTAGTTGAATAGTTAGCTACCATAGGGTTGTTAACTTTGTGCAAATAAGAGACTATTGCATAACTTAAGAACATTAGTTTAATAGTTAGCTTTATGTTTAAATACTTGACTAGTGAACTGTATTACAATTAATAGCAAAATTCTTCAGTGTAACTTTGGGATAGCATATAAATACATAGATTTGTACATCAAACCAAAAATTTGTTAAATGATGTATTTCTACAAGCTTTACATAATTTGGTTAAAGTATCACTATATTAATTTCCTTAACAAAGAACTTGTTAAAGTTGCATTATTTACATTCTAGAGTTAATGGTGAAGATAATTTAAAATCTAATTGTATAATCACTTTATAACTGATATTGTGGGTTATTACCATGCCCATAACTGAAGAAACAAGACATTCCTAACAAGTTTATGGTAGTAGTTTCTCAGTTATATTACCCCAAGTTCGCAGATGTTCTTAAACTGGATATTTTTTGTGCAACATATTAAAACATCTATGATTAATTACATTAAATTATATACACATCGATTACTAAAAGTTTCTCACCACAGGTACATGACGTTTCTTTAATGTGTTTCTCAACTCCCAGTCAATCTTCCCATAGCTTTCTTCAGCAGAGAAAGCAGGATGATCTGTAATTCATACTAACATTAATCCTGGTTTACATAATCCACCATTAATCCTGGTTTACATATTTATATTCATTAACATTGTATCTAATGTACTTTGTTAGGATAACTGTCTGATCAATCAATAACATTATATCTAATGTACTTTGTTAGGATAACTGTCTGATCAATCAATAACATTATATCTAATGTACTTTGTTAGGATAACTGTCTGATCAATCAATAACATTATATCTAATGTACTTTGTTAGGATAACTGTCTGATCAATCAATA